GGTTTCCGTTGCTTCGCACCTTTTTCAGGTGTGTGCGGCTTCCGCGCTACCAGCAACTGGTTCCCGTCTCCCGTGCAAGCACCACCAGCTTTTTTCCTCCCACTGGACTGAGAGTGCCCATTTATCTACTCACGTAAGTTTTCAAGCTGCTGGGTTGGCAGGAGCTGGGGAGGAAGCAGGAGCTCGCTCTGCTGTGCGGAGCTGAGCTTGAACTGCTGAAGTGTCGACCATTTCTGGCTGGCAACGTTCAGCGTCATTAAGCCGCTGCGCCACCACGTCCCTATTTAAATGTTGACAAACTTTTTTAAAAAAAAATTCTTATAGCACTACCACTTGTTGCGGTCTAATGCAAAAACTGTCATGCCAGTCATATCAGCCATATACGAGTGAGCAAACAGAAAAAGCTAACGAGAGTTTGGCAGTGGAGGTCAACAGAACATAGGAAACATGAAACGCGACCAGAAAATGGTGTCTTTTGAGGGATTATTTATTCAGTTGTGAGGGACAAAAATGTCATATCACAAATAGCTGCTGATTGTGAAGAGTAAATAATTAAAAACCGTTCTACCGTTGATACATTAAGAAACAGACGTGAAAATGAATGGCTGATTCTGCACACATGACCTGCAGTGCTTGTGACATGGCAGTTTTTGAGTCTGAAAACAACATGGCACATTTTTAGCTAGTGCAAGCTTATAGCAGCGCTTAAAAAAAGGTCAGAGAACTGGGGCACCAAATGACTATGCTTAGCTCATGAGAAAATTATAAAACCTTGGACACATTGTAGACTTCTTCAGACCTAACTCTCTGGAGAAATCTATAATGGTACAAAAGATGGAAGAAAAGGGAAGAAGAGAATAAGGTGGATGGACTCAGTTACAGTGGCAATGGGTGCGCTGTTGGAAGACCTGAAGGGCCAGGTTGGGGCCAGTTCATCCTGGAGAAAATCTATCTATGTGGCTGCTAAGAGTCAACACTACCTTGAGGGCACATAATCAATTAAGCAAAGCTCATAAGAAAGGATGATTGATCAGATCAAAAAATGGAGGCACTATGACAAGAACTGATGGAGAAAGCAACTGTCTATAAGGAAATCAATTGAATTAAGCAAGCCCAGTGGAGAAAAGTCTCAGAAACCAGAAATGAAGAACATGTAGAACATGTTTTACCTCACTGGAACTCAAAAATAGCTTGGCGGCCCTTACAGAGTAAACTGACTGAGGTTTCAAGGGCTGCAACAAAACACTGCAGAACAAAGGATAGGATAGGACAGAGGGCATGCAGCTGTGCTCTGAAAGAAAAAAGAAACAGAAAAAAAAAAATAAGGGTTGCTGACTCAAAATTACAAGAATCAAAACAAATATATCTGCCAGGAACATGGATTAGGGATGTGGAACAGGTTCCAAGACTTACCAAGTCTACTGACAATTATCCTTTCTTGCTAATCAATGCAGGGACAAATAGTATTGCAAAGAACAACTACAACCATATCAAAGATGGACTTTGAAAATCTTGGAAGACAGCTAAAGCACTTTGGGGTCCAGATTGAATTCTCATCCATTGTTACAGTCCATGGAAAAGGAATGGAGAGACAAAACAAAAATAGCTGTACTCAAATAGTGTCATTGGGAGATATTTGATTTTTAGAACCATAGTCTGAATTATCTGATGATGCTAGTGTGGACTGGGTTACATCTTGGCAGGACCAGTAAAAATGTGTTTGGGTGAAGCGTGGCAAGCTTGATTAGCTGGTCTTTAAACTGAATCCTGTAAACACTTCACATAAAGACTTGTGCAATATAAAAGTAAGTGGGATTGTTGTTTAATGGGGTCTATTACATTACTTAATGAAAAATCAGAAAGAACATTGGCTTCAAGTTCATGACTTTCATTGTCCATACACTTCTATTCAGACCAGGGGAAATAAGTTTAACTCTGAATACAGAAGGGGAGGACAAAGTTAATATATATAAAATGGAAGTCTGGTGAGATGACTCCCATAATTGGAATATAGGAGTTGAAGGATATAGTTTGTTCAAAAGAAACTGAAGCAATAGAATAGAAGAGGCATTGTACTGAATATGTTAAAAGTATACACATTTGATCAGAAAGTTAAGCGAATGAACTTGGCAATACTGTACACAGCATCTGGATTAAACTAAGTGGTGTTATTGGTATTTACTATTGCCTACCCAACCAAGGGGGAAAAAACCCATGGATGATACTTTCCAAAAACAAGCTGCATATTTTTCCAAGAGGCATGAAGTAATGAAAGGGAACTTTGAATACTCTAATATCTGATGGGAGGCAACCATAACTAATACTTGTGAAATTTCCTTTATCCTCTGAAGCTCAAAGTTGTTAGCTTGACATGTCAGAAATGTCTAGAAGGACCATTCTTGGCAGAGTATTTCACAAGTATTAGTTATGGTTCATTAATCTCTGAGATTTGGCATGCCTGTTTACACTCAGAAGACACTTCCACTAGAAATCTAGAGACTTTCACCAACTATAACTGAAAGATAAATGCCATCTTTGGGGCAAGCTTCTTGAGAGAGTGATATCCGTGCACTGGCAGACAATCTTGGAAGAAACCAATTATTTCAACTCCTTTTAGAATGAGTTTGAACCAGGTTAGTCATTATTGCCCTGACAGATGATCCATTCCAGGAGAAAGCTAGAGGGAGCATGACTCTGTGGATCCTGCTTAAACTCTCAGAGTCTTTTGATATCATTGATTATTGCATCCTCCAGAACCATCTTTGTGAGTCTGAGGCAATGTGTTAAGGTGGTTCTACTCCTATTTGCAGGGAATGGCCTCAAAAAATACTAAAGTGACTGTGCCTTTGGACCCTAGCACCTATGTGTTGGGGTGTCCAAAGGCATTGTTTTGCCCACAGTGCTTTTTAACATTTACATAAGATTGTGGTGGCAAAATGCCAACTGGTGGTCATTCACGGGTGGACATTCCCCATGGTGGTACCTACCCTCTGTGCTGTTCCCTACTTGACTTTGTAAGCTGCCTATGGTTACATATTTTAAGTACCTAGAGAAGACCCGTCTTGTCATCCAGCCCTTCTTTAAATGGCTGTTGGATTAATGGGTTTTGTTTCTTTGATTTTCTTCACCCTCTTTTTATTGTACATATTGCATTTATATTATTTTTAATCTAGTTTTCCACTGAATATTTTATTTTGTAAGCTGCCTCCTGTACATGATTTTGCACAGGAAACAGTGTACAGCAGTGTTCTTAATAACATGCATACCAAGATGTCAGAAGCAGAGATGGGACAAAAGGGGAACAGGAAACAGGCCTGCATGCTTACACTAATCCACAACTAAGCAAGATCTGATGAAATGCATTTTACAAATTACAAATGTGGGTTATAAAGAAATTAGTTCTGTGCTACTGATATATACTTCACTTAGATTTCTATTCTGCCTTTTCTCCATATCTTGAAATGTACAAGTACTTCACATTGGGTGCCGACCAAGTATGACTTGTACTTGTTTTTAACAATGATCAGGGAAGCCAAAATAATATTTCATGTGAATGTTTCTAATTGGGGAAAAATGAAACTATAATGTAAGGAACGATAGCCAAGTTCAAAGAGGAGTTGGGTCTTCCTACTCATCTTTGACTTTCAACCACTGGGTTTTCTCAGTTTTTTTTCCTGACTTGTTCCTCAGTGCCACCAACAGGAAAGAAGTTTTTATTGGAATGCCACTGGAATTATGCTTGTTGCTAAAACATAAAACAGAAATGTGTATATATGTTGTCCGATGCAAAAGGATCAGTAACAGATACCTTACCGTAAGTGGTAGTACTAACCAA